ACTGAATAAATAGTACACAAAGCTTCCTTATTCACGCTTTTTTCATTTCTGATCTCTCTCTAACGTTCTCTCTCTAGATTCATATACTTGCTGTACAGAAATGGCTTCGAGTTCGAGTGAAGAAGGTAACCACAAAAATGCTTCCAGTTTGATCGATGAACTGCAATTTGATATGGACGATGATCAACCGATGGTTGAAACGTCAGGTGCAGAGAAAAGTCTATCATTAAAGGCGTCTGCGGAGCAGAGCGATACGGCTGATGAGATTTGGCGAAATATCGAGAATAACCGCGTTCGGTTTCCGACGAATCGTGATGATCGTAGAGAAGGATTGAAGAGAACTACTACATTGAAATCTCCACCTGGAGCTGAAGGAGAAGTCGTCGTTTCGACGACTGATGATTCATCTAAGCAATCTACACCTACGTCTCCGACGGGGACCGATGGAGGAGGACGCGACGGAGAGTCGTCGGACAAGGAGAAGGCAGGACGTGGTTCACTTGAGAACAAATCAATTTTGAAGCCGTCGCCTAGCGTCGGTACGAGTCTCCTCAACCTTGTCAATGAGGGGACTGGTGCAAAAGCAAGTGGTACAGAGAACGGTAGTCCGTCGATGATGGATGAGGCATGGGAACGACTGAGAAGCTCGTTTGTTTATTTCCAGAAAAAACCAGTCGGAACACTAGCTGCAGTTGATCCTAGTGCGGAGGCATTGAATTACAATCAGGTACACACTTCAATTATATTTGATTGATTCTTTGCATAAATTCGTGCTTGTATCTATGTATAGCCATCTGGTTACTCCATGCATGTTTCTATGGCGCAATACTTTTAACCATCCATAAGGAAGACCGATCTGATAGTTACTAATCAGCTTGCACATGTTAGTCTCATCATTATCTGTTTTAAGTAGATCATTTCATTACATCATACAGCCAGAGCATGGATCGATTTAATTATCGTGCATGTCTCTCATGTTAATCCAGTGCATGTCAGTGTATGCAGGATCCATTTGCTTACATTTACGTTATTTCTGTCTCCGAGTGAGTGAGTGTGTATTAGTGTATACATGATTTGTTTACTTGTGTATTTGTGTCATTCTTCTTGCCTCGTGTAATAATGCAAGCTCTGCTTATTTGCTAATGTTTGTGTAGAAACATTAATCATACCGGTATAAGTTCAACAGGAAATGCTTTCTCTGAGATCAACTAATCTGTAATTCTATGCGTATATAGTCATGGATATGCTCTGTTAATAAAGCAGTACCAAAAGACAGTTCCAGTATTTGGATTAGCTAATGATAGGATCATAATGCTGGCTATAACATTATGAATCAGCTTATAATCTACTGATTTAGCCTTCCAGGAGAATATGTACATGCATTCTTACATAAAAAAAAAAGTATGATATAACATTTTAAACAATGTCCTGGATTAGGTTGAACTAGTTTCCTTTAATTTAAGGTAATTTAAGTAGAAGAAACCAGAGGAATTACTAGTCATGTAATGTTTTTGGTTGATCAATCATTCAGCACTTTTATAAATCAATAAATGTATGGACAGTTGAGTTAGTAGTAATGGTCTGCATATGTTCATTTGTTGTGTCAAATCAAGTGTCCCTAGCTTCAGTTCGGTTTCCATCATAAGTGGTAGAATGGACAGAAAAAACACGATTTGATGTGAATTGTGCAGGTGTTTGTGAGAGACTTCGTGCCTACTGCCTTGGCGTACCTCATGAAAGTTCCAGATCCGGAGCCAGAGATTGTGAAGAACTTCTTACTAAAGACTCTCCATCTGCAAGGATGGAAAAAGACAATTGACAATTTCACTCTTGGAGAAGGTGTGATGCCTGCCAGTTTCAAAGTCATGTATGACTCATACCAGGAAAAGGACGTCCTGAAAGCTGACTTTGGTGGCAGTGCAATCGGAAGAGTTGCGCCTGTTGATTCAGGTTTCTGGTGGATTATACTGTTAAGGTCATACACCAAATGTACAGGGGATTACACATTGGCAGAGAAACCCGAAGTGCAAAAAGGAATGAAACTCATTCTCAACCTTTGCCTGTCTGATGGGTTTGATACTTTCCCAACTCTCCTCTGTGCAGATGGGTGTAGCATGATTGACAGAAGGATGGTATATTATATATGTTTGTATTTTTCCTTATTACTTCCATATATAATATATATATATATATATATATATATAATATTAAGTTTTAATTAGTAATTTAAATTATCTGTTAACAGGGAATATATGGATATCCGATTGAGATCCAGGCTCTGTTCTTCTTCGCGCTTCGGTGTGCACAACAAATGCTTAAACAAGACACTGACTCCAACCGTTTAATCGGGCGGATTGAAAGAAGGATTACAGCTCTAAGCTACCACATCCGAAACTACTACTGGCTAGATTTCACACAGTTGAACAACATCTATCGCTACAAAACAGAAGAATACTCCCACACAGCTGTCAACAAGTTCAATGTGATCCCGGAGTCTATTCCGGATTGGGTGTTTGATTTCATGCCGTTGAGAGGAGGTTACTTCATTGGAAACGTAAGCCCGGCTCGCATGGACTTCAGGTGGTTCTTAATCGGCAACTGTATTGCTATCTTGAGCTCTTTAGCCACTCTGGCACAGGCTACAGCCATTATGGATCTTGTTGAGGAACGCTGGGAAGATTTAATTGGTGAGATGCCCTTGAAAATTGCTTACCCAGCCTTGGAAGGTTATCAATGGAGGATTGTGACCGGTTGTGATCCCAAGAACATTCGTTGGAGTTATCACAATGGTGGTTCTTGGCCAGGTAAGTAATTACTATACTTGAATTATAAATTAAAATAAAGTATGTTAAATCCCAATTCGTTTTGGTAATTTTGTTCCTAGTGCTGTTGTGGTTGCTGACGGCGGCGTGTATAAAGGCGGGAAGGCCGCAGATTGCAAAGAGGGCGATAGAGCTGGTGGAGCAGCGGCTTTCAAAAGATGGGTGGCCGGAGTATTATGATGGGAAGAAGGGGCGTTATATAGGGAAGCAAGCAAGGAAGTATCAGACATGGTCCATCTCAGGGTACCTGGTTGCAAAGCTTATGATTGAGAACCCCTCTAATCTTGCTATGATTTCTCTTGAAGAAGATAAGAAGATAGAAAAGCCCAGGCTTACTCGTTCCGCCTCTTGGTCTTGTTCCAGGTAATAACAAGATTTTCACAAGAATTCACAAAACCATTAACATTTTTCTTTTCTTTTCTTTTCTTTTCTTTTATCCTATGCCAATTAATGCTACTCGTATATGGTGCGTCGTGACTTTTGCATGGGCCGAACCGAATTGTGTTCTCTATGTCTTGGTTTTTGTAACCAGTACATTACTATATCCTAGAATAATCAAATCTGGCAATTTTCAATTTCTAGCCAGTCAATGAAGCAACTTTTTTCAGCTTCTTGGATACAAAAGAGTTATCCAGATTTTGGTGAGACTTGTTTCGTGTCTCCTTCACAATTTTATTGCTTGAATTACTCTCAGTGCAGCCCCCACTTGGAATTTTTTTTATGCACCTAATACTTTTTTTTGGATATAAATATTGAAAATTTTATACTCTACTCTAGAGTATCAAGTATATATATTCAACTATAATATCCAACACGTAGATCAGATGCAAGAAAACTAGGTTAAAAACAAATGTCCTTTTGAGATGAAGGATAAGTATTAGAATGTAGAAAGATATTTGGTGGTTGTAAAGAGAATAAGTAAAATTAGCAAGTCCAACAAAAGCAACTATACCTTTTGCATTCTCTTTCCCTTTGTTGGCTCACAAGTAAAAAACAAACAAAAAAGTAGCAACTTTGGTTATGCTTGGAGCATCATCACATCACACTTTTTTTTTTCTTTTATGAAAAAATAATGTGACTCGCAGCAAACAAAACAAAACTTTTTCACTTTAAAGGGTTTTGTAAAGGATAAATCAATATCCCTTTGCAAATAAGTTGTTTATATCACTTGAGTTGGTATAATGAACAACAATAAAGCAATTACTTGCGTTGAAAATATGGCATCACAATCACATCAATCAATATTTTCATTTTTTGTAATTAACTTTTGACTTGTCTTTTGTATTACAGTAACTACATGATGGTCTGTAATTTTTTTTTTTAATATCATGTCTCTTGTGAAAGCTTTTTCCGGCATTGGGTTGATGAGAAACCATGAGATGCAAAGAAGCATTATTTAAATTGATATGTATGAATTTTCTCAATCTTATTTGTGATTTGTTAATCTTAGGTGTGAAATTCAAAAAAGGAATCATCATATTTGTAGTTTTGGTAATGGGCATTGCTTAATAATGCTTTAGGATCTCCCATCTAAGTGCAACTTGTTCTTTTCTTCCCAAATGGACGTATCTAAATTTGATTGGAAACTGGAAAGCATGAATAAATGTTTCCTTGAAACCTCCTGATCAATACATACTATTTAATTAAGATGCAATGATGCTAATTCATTGAACACATGTTGTATAAAATAAAAATGAAGCATCATTACATTTGTCGCCTTTTTTGACATTCCTACCTTGTATATATTCTTCTTCACCAACTTCCTCTCTCTTTCCAAACTTAACCTAATCTTGACAAGTCGAAACGTGAAAGTGTCATATCATTATCTATAACAGTATACATAAATATTCCTCCCGCTAGCTAGCTGCTAAAACCATCAAAGTTGAATCTCGAATCTTGCGAAAACTGATAGTGTAAAGAAGAAGCTATGGTATAATAATATGATATGATGGTTGAGAAAAAGACAAACATAAACATGCCAGAAATTTCGAATATGGAATTATAAAAATATATTAGATAAAAAAAAAAAAAGGCATTTACGGGTTGTATATTGTTTACGAGGTCAAAAAAGCATAAACCCACCATCGTCCATTTGAAACAAATTAATTCCTTCCCCCACTACATTTTCTACATAATATATATATTAAAAACTCAGAAACCGACTCCCACTATCGCTATTATAATTTGATTTCACAAACATTAGTCAACAACAAAGAAAATCCCTTTCCTTTATCGTTCCTTCGTCGATCTGTCGTTATCATAATCTTTAACCCTCACCAAATAAATCCAAAAACCAACATTCTTTTCTTTTCCTCGCACACAAACCCACATTTCATCTTCCTCTTCCTCCTCCTCTTCAACAACACCATTCAATTCAACTTGTCTCTTTTGGATTCATGGACGCTTCTCAATGGAAACTGGTGAGTTATTATGTCATATCATTGTTGTTTACCAACTGTACAACGTTTTGAAAACAATGAAAAGTCATTTTTTTTTTTGTTTGTTTGTTTGTGGTTTTAGGAAGCTGTTAATATTAATAACAATAATAATAATAATAATGATCAAGTAGAAGAGAGGAAGGCAAGGCCACAAGAACAACAGCAAGGTCAAGCTCAACCTGCAGGTGGTCCTCTCAACTGTCCAAGATGCAAGTCAAGCAACACAAAGTTCTGCTACTACAACAACTACAGCTTAACACAGCCAAGATACTTGTGTAAGTCTTGTAGAAGGTACTGGACTCAAGGTGGTTCCCTCAGAAATGTCCCTGTTGGTGGTGGTTCAAGAAAGAACAAAAGATCTTCTTCATCATCCATCGCCACTCAAGATACTCAACATCTTAACTTGTCTTTCCAAGTCCAACAACCAGAATATCATCACCCTCATAATCATGGTTTCTCACAGTTTCTAAAGCTACCCAAGGTTGAAAATAGTAGCAACCAACTAATTAATCCCTTCGGTTCAAATTCAAATCCAGTGTTCAATGTCCAGGTGGATGAGAATGGAGGGTTTCATGAAATAATGTTACCATTTGGAGTCATGATGAACCAACAACACCTTTCATCAACAAGAACAATAAGAGAGGGTGATGTGCAAAACATGGGTTCCACTGGATACTGGACTTCAACTTTTCTGGGTGATTAATTAATTAATTGAACCAAATTATCTGCAAGTTTAATTAGATTGTTTAATCTTTCTTTGCTAATGCATATGATATATAATTGGTCATCATCACATGGTTTTATGGCCAATCTACTTTATTAGAAGATTTTGTAACTTAATTGTACTTTACTTACGGCTACATGATCAGCACTGCACTGCACTGCAGCATATGTTGTGTTGTGTTGTGTATCTTTATATTTTCTTGGAGATGGGAAATCTCTTCTTCAATGTACAACTAGCTAGCGTGGTAATTAAGTTTTTACTTATTGTGTGTTTGCCTTGTTTCTCTTTTTATGCATATATACAAGCAGTTTTTGTGTATTTAACGCTACTTCTACTTAGGCTTTGGGTTGTTTCCTTTTGATGTAATCAGCTTAACAGGGTGGCATTTAATACTTAATCCGAACGAAATGACTTAATGGGTTAAACAAAAAATGCTTATTGTCACTGTAGCACAACAATGTTTAGTATATCAGTCAACACACAGAATCCACTCAGTGCCACATCTACACCGATTAATGAGAGTCATTTACTTTCACCAACCCCCAACCACCCTTAGAGCCCAAGTAATCATCGAAGGTGGTGGGCATATTAAAACTCGATTGGTTACATAAACAACCACCATAAACATCAGAGCACGAAGAAATAATGTCCTGATACAAATCCCAATAGCCATTCCAACAATTTTCCAGATATTTTTCTTTGATTTTCTAATCGATTATACAGGGAATGTTCTGGTGTCACAGGTATAAACTCCATGACCATAACCACATAAACCGGGTTTTCCCTCGAAGCTTGAGTTTGTAAGCATTAAAAATTGACCTCCACTAGGGAAAAAACCCTTGAGATTATTGTGAATGATGTTGGATGTCCATAAAACTGGTATTTTTGGAAAGTTTCCATTTTATTAAGTTTTGGTGTTGGTTTAGGTTTTTAGTTTAATTAGTATAAATAGGGTAGATGTTTTATTGCATTAATTTAAGTTTTGTAAGTTTTTTCATGCGTTAAATAATACTTGAAGCCTAAGTAATTTTCTAGAAAACTTCTTTTCTTCCCCTATTAGCTCTTCTCTGTTTTCCTGCACAATTAAGTTTTTCTTTCTGCCAAAATCAAGTGAATTGCTTCTGAAGTTTGAGTTCCTGTTAAGCTCTAATTCGATTTCATTCCTTGTTTGTAACTTTCTAATAGAATCAAGGGAACTGATTTCTGCATAAAGTTCATTCTCAATGGAATTAAGTGATTTAATTCCAACAAGTGACACTGAATTTGGATTAAAAAAAAAAAAAAAAAACTTAGATTCACCAAAGATGGAGGGATTGTTCTAGTGAGATGATTGTAAAACAAATCAAGCGTCTCCACTATTTTCATCTCTAATAAGGAATTTGGAATCGTATCTGATAAATTGTCAGGCGTGAGCAAAAATCGAAACGCAAACCGAAAAAACCGAAACCGAAATAAAAACCGACGGTGCGGTTTTTAGTTTTGCAAAAACCGAAAATGTTCGGTGCGGTGCGGTTTCTAGTCTTGTATAAACCGAAAAAAAAAAACGGAACCGCACCATATCCATTTTTCTAACTTCAAAAAACCACTACTTTCGCCACCAATATCCATTTTTCTGCCCCTAATCTATTTAAATTCTCGATCTACCACTGCGTATAGTTATGTATTTTAACTATGATTTTTGGTATTACTTGTTCCGTTTTGCTAGTCTCATGTACACCTTATGTATGCTTACACTATTCCAAACCAAGAAAAGGTGTTGGATATACACTACAAGAAATATATCCTTTAGCGGCGACACCTTTAGCGGCGACTATGGGCTTTACCGGCGACTCTAGCTATAGTCGCCGGTAAAGCCCATAGTCGCCGCTAAAGGTGTCGCTGCTAAAGAGTTGTCACCCGAATCCGCACTTTCCCCCTACATTGCATCTCAACCGTTCGATGAGATATCCAATCCAACGGGTGGGGTGCCTTATCCGGTCTAACCTAATACCGGCGACACGCATGTCGCCGCTAAAACCCTAAAAAAGTCGCCGCTAATTGTATGCTAAAAATGACGCGGTACCCTTCCCTCCAGTTTGTCGCCGCTATTAACAATTGTCGCCGGTATTGATCTCGCGTCGCCGCTAAAGGTGTCGCCGCTATTGATGATCCCAGATAAAAAAAAAACGCACGCAGATTACAGCCTTCTTCATTTCCCTTTCTCCCTTTCTGTTTGCTTTGAGCTCCTTCACCATTTTTCCGATTTCTTCTTCAATCTCCTTCTTTCTAGCAAATTTCTCCCCTCATTGTTCCAAGCAAGTGTCCCTAGGTGTGGTTAAAGGTTTGGGATCAATTTCTACCTCCATTTCTTGAAGAAAGGTAAGTTTTATTTTGATGATTTCATTTTTGTGTTGTATGAATGATAATAAATTGCTCATGTTCTTTATTTTTGGTGGTGTTGTTTTGGATTAGAAGCATTGTTCCAAGCAAGTGGTTAAAGCTTTGTGATCAATTTGTAGGTGCCTCCATTTGTTGAAGAAAGGTAAGTTTTTTTTTATGATTTCTTTTTTATTTTGTATGAATTTTGATTTGTAGCTTTATGTAGTGATTGAATGATAATAAATTGTTCATATTTTTGTTTTTGGTGGTATTGTTTTGGATTAGAAGCAAGTTATTCAATTTTTTGTTTGTGGTTATTTAATTGCAATTAGTTGTATAGCTTCAAGTTGTATTTATATGTGAAATTATGTGATAATTGTCATATGTGAAAATTGGATTGTATATTTTGTATTTGTTTGAATATATGTGAATTTGGTATATATATTCCAATGTATGTGTGTTTGATGTATATGTGGTATATTAGTAGAAGTTATATGTATTTGTTATAAGTAGAATGTTATTGTGTGTATGTGAATGTATGTATGTTTGTTGTAAATGTGATATATGATTGTGAAACTTTTGTATTTGGTATAAATAGGATGTTATTATGTATATATGTGAAATTATGTGTATTTGGTTTAAATAGGATGTTATTTTGTGTGTATTTGTATTTGATGTATATGTGGTATATGTATGTAAAAGTATGTGAATTTCACCTTCTTATGTATTATGTAAAACTATGTGGTTTTGGTATAAGTAGGATGCTATAATTGAAATAAAAAAAAAATACATTATTTTTATAATTTGAAAAAAAAAACACAAAAAAAAACTATAAAATTGTTTAAAAACTTATATACAAAAAACTAGAAAGCTTCTAGTTTTTACCCAAGCTAACTCCAAATTAATTAACCAATAAGTTATATAGTTAACTTATAATTGGAAAAAAAAACACAAAAAAAATTATAAAAATCTTTAAAAACTTATATACATTTTAATCTCGACGGTAAAAAATACAACACAACAACATAATACGTATGTAAAACTATGTGGTTTTGGTATAAGTAGGATGCTATAATTGAAATAAAAAAAAATTACATTATTTTTATAATTTGAAAAAAAAAACACAAAAAAAAACTATAAAATTGTTTAAAAACTTATATACAAAAACTAGAAAGCTTCTAGTTTTTACCCAAGCTAACTCCAAATTAATTAACCAATAAGTTATATAGTTAACTTATAATTGGAAAAAAAAACACAAAAAAAATTATAAAAATCTTTAAAAACTTATATACATTTTAATCTCGACGGTAAAAAATACAACACAACAACATAATACGTATGTAAAAGTATGTGGTTTTCTTATAAGTAGGATGCTATAATTGAAAAAAAAATACATTATTTTTATAAATTGAAAAAAAAAACACAAAAAAAAAACTATAAAATTGTTTAAAAACTTATATACAAAAACTAGAAAGCTTCTAGTTTTTACCCAAGCTAACTTACAAGTAATTTTAATTAAAATTAATTAAAAAAATGCATAAATAAAAATTTTTAATTTATTTTTTTCATTTCTTTATTACTTAATTTTTGTATTATTTTAGATGTAAAAAAATGTGGATTGAAAAAAAACAATGCTAATTCTGTATACTAAACTCTAAACCCAAAATTATGTTTCAGCAACATCATGTCTATTGATAAAAGCTGGACTACTAATCCATATCGAAACCATCCCGAGTTCCAAGCAGGACTCAAAGCTTTTATTGAGAAGTCGAAGTTGCACGTTGATAGTAATGGTAAAATCAGATGTGCGTGTGAAAAATGTGATAACCGTTACTTCAAGTACCCGACTGTAGTTGAACGCCATATATTTATAAATGGTTTCAGTAAGGCGTACAAAATTTGGATCTATCATGGTGAATCTTTTATTCCTCCCGTCGTTTTGCCAAGTAACGAAATGGCCGATTTAATCGACGATGTGATGTGGGAGTCGAGAGAAAATGATACCAACCTCGATGAAGGAACCTCGAATACAAGGGGTAGCGGTGTGGATGATGATTTTGCACAGTTGTTGGAGGAAATGGAAACTCAATTGTATACTGGTTGCATCTTTTCTTCCCTTGAGTTTCTAGCAAAGTTAATGCATATCAAGGTGAACAACAAATGGACTGATAGTTCATTTGATCAACTCCTTGAGCTCTTGCAATTAGCATTTCCCAAAGGCAACAAGGTTCCCCTTTCACATTATCTAGCCAAGAAGAAACTAAAGTCTATTGGCCTGGGGTATGAGTCGATACATGTGTGTAAAAACGATTGTTGTCTCTTTTGGAAAGAACATGATTCATTGCAAGTTTGTCCCGTTTGTAAAGAGAGCCGATGGATCGATAAAAACACCAAGGGTAAGAAAGTACCTCATAAGGTGTTACGGTACTTTCCTGTGACCCCTAGACTACGACGTTTATATTGTTCGAGGCACACTGCCAAAAATATGATTTGGCATAGTACCAGACGTTCAGAAGATGGTGTGATGATTCATCCTGTTGATGGGGAACATTGGCAAGATTTTGATAAAAATACCCCGACTTCTCGAGTGAACCCCGTAACGTACGCCTAGGTCTTTCAGC